CCCGGATGACCTGCCGACGGGACTGCCACCTCAGCGACCGCACGATCACAGGATAGAACTGGAACCGGGGGCACAGCCAACAGTACAGCGACAGTTCCGACTGACCCAACCCGAATTAGACGAACTAAGGAAGCAGCTCGATTACCTGCTAGAAAAGGAATTCATTCGCCCTAGTTCGTCGCCTTTCGCCGCACCAATACTGTTCACACCGAAAAAGGACGGGGGTTTTCGCATGTGCATCGACTACAGGGCACTGAACAGGGTTACCATCAAATCCCGTTACCCCATCCCACGAGCCGACGAACTGATCGACCAACTGCGCACAGCCCGGGTTTTCTCGAAAATCGACCTCCGGGGAGGATACCACCAAATCCGCGTCAACCCACCCGACTGCCCTAAAACCGCATTCCGAACACGCTACGGATCCTTCGAATACACCGTCATGCCATTCGGACTGACCAACGCCCCCGCCACTTTCCAAATGACCATGAACGAAGCATTCCGCCCGCTTTTAGATAAGTGCGTCATCGTTTATCTGGACGACATACTGATTTACAGCCCTGACAGAGCACAGCACTTACAAGACATCGAAGCAGTTTTTAAAATCCTGAGTGAGAACCGCCTACTGACCAAAGCATCTAAGTGTGAGTTTTTACAGGACCGCCTGGAGTTTTTGGGACATGTTATTTCAGCTGCAGGAGTGGAAATAGACCCGAAGAAAATTGCGACGATTCAGGCTTGGCACGCGCCGACCAACTTGACCGAGTTGCAGAGTTTCCTGGGGTTCGTCAACTACGTGCGCCGGTTCGTCCCCGACATGGCGAAACTGACTGCCCCGTTGACTGACCTGCTGAGGAAGGGGGTTGAGTACACGTGGGGGGAGAAAGAGCAAGCTGCCTTCTCGGCCCTCAAAAATATTTTGTGCTCCCCGCCCGTCCTTCACATTGCAGATCCCCACCGTCCGTTCGAGCTCGTCACCGACGCAAGTGACATCGCTGTGGGAGCAGTACTGTTGCAGGATTTCGGGAATGGCCTCCAGCCAATCGCGTACGAGTCCCGCAAGTTACACCCGCCCGAACGTAACTACCCGATACACGACCGCGAGATGCTAGCGATCGTGCACGCGTTCAAAGTTTGGCGATGTTACCTGACTGGTGCCGACGTGACAGTACGGACAGACCACCGCTCGCTACAGTACCTTCGCGCCCAACCGAATCTCAACCCACGACAGATTCGCTGGTTGGACTATCTCGAGTCCAATTTTCACTACACCGTCACGTACAAAAAAGGAGCATCCAACATCGCCGACGCTCTCACCCGCCCCACCGCCCAACTCCACGCCATCCTACTCGCCCAGACCAACCCGCTTTTAACTGGCCTATTCACCCACGGATACCGCACCGACCCATTTTTCACGACCGGAAATTCACAGCAACTGGCAGAAGCAAAAGGAGTTTATTACGTAAAAACAGGCACCAACCGCATTTGGGTACCCGCGTACTCACTACTGAGGGAGTTGCTGCTGCAGGAGGCACACGACGGGATTACCTCGGGACATTTCGGGGTAGAAAAAACACGACAGCAACTGCAGCGGTACTATTACTGGCCGGAGCTGTTGACCGACGTACAGCAGCACGTGGGCTCGTGCCCGACGTGTCAGGTGATGAAGAGTTCAAGGAAGCGGAAGGCGGGTCAATTGCAGCCGATCCCACCGCCCGAACGCGCCTGGCAGCAAGTAACCATGGACTTCGTCACAGGGTTACCTTCGAACCCTGGGGGTAACGACGCGGTGATGGTCGTCGTGGATAGGTTGACGAAGATGGCACACTTCGCTGCGTGCAAAAAGTCGATCTCAGCCGAAGAGACCGCTCGCCTGTTCATCGCAGCCGTTGTTCGCCTGCACGGGATACCAGCAGCAATTATCAGCGACAGGGACACGAAGTTTACCAGCAACTTCTGGAAGAACCTCTGGGAGCAGTTCGGGACCAGGCTACAGTTCAGTTCGTCGTACCACCCCGAGACCGACGGCCAAACGGAGCGGACGAATCAGACGATGGAGCAGTTGATTCGTGCCACGTGCGACGACCCCACGACCTGGGAGCAGCAGCTGCCGCTGATCGAGTTCGCGTACAACAACGCCACATCAACCACGACGCAGCAGTCCCCGTTCTACCTGAACTATGGGCAGAACCCCACAGTGCCCATGACGCCGAGTCCGGACAACCCCACGCCACGCGCACAACAATTCGCCGAAATCCTGCAAGCTGCCCGCGCCAGAGCCGCCGAAGCAATAAAAAAGGCCAACGTCATCGCTAAGCGCAACGCTGATCGCCACCGCCGCCCCGTCACGTATCAATCTGGAGATTACGTGCTACTCGACACGCAAAATCTGCGACTGCCCGACGTACCAAAATTACGACCGCGCTACTGTGGACCATTCCAAATCAGTCACATGATCACACCCGTCACCGCGCACCTACTGTTGCCAATTGACTGGTACATCAGCCCTTCGTTCCACGTCAGCCTACTTCGCCCATACATCCCGACCACGAGTCAACTGCCGCGTCACCGGCCACAATCAATGACTCGCCCTGCATCAGAGCCGATCATCGAGCCCGAGAAATTTTTGAGCCATCGGATCCGCCACCCCACGGGAATCAGGAGGATTGAATTCCTCGTTCGCTGGAAAGACCGCACGCCAACTGAAGATAGCTGGGTGCCCCTGAGCAACATCGAAAATCACCCTGCCCTGCAAGTGTACTTGAGAAGCCGGGGATTCCGGGATATACACGCACTCGCGTAGCGGAGGGGGCTTCTTAAGGGGGGGGGGTAGTGTAAGGAATTTTCTCAGGCATTCCTTACGGAGCCGACTACATCGCGTACAGCAACAGCCGACTGTTCGCCCGTTACTGCTAACGGAACTTCGCCGACTTCGCGCGCACTGTTTTGCCAAACCTCGCACTGCTGGCATGGCCGTATCGGCCTACGCTTCGGGACTAGCCCGAGCCTCGCTCCAGCGTAGCACTAGCAAGTTCGCACGCACCGCGTTACCGTTTTGCATGTTTCGCGTATAAATGCTCGCTCATGCCTTCGCTCACATTTTGTACTCGTTTGACACCTTAGTGCAATTCTCGCTACCTCGATTCATTGCACCCGTAACAAGATTCGAGAGCACACATAGAATTTGAAAACCGTAACTTGTTCATTATTTATTCCTAAGAGTTAGCGAACGCATATTAATCCCTGTGAATTTCTCGACGACCTAAAGCGAGTAAAGCTGTTACACCTCGATGAACTGGTTTTCGCTTTTCGCATGTCGTCTACCAAACTCTGTTGGCTGACTTTTCAGCCAAACCACCCAGGGTTTGGTCTTGTTTCTAATAGCGGAAGCTACTCTGTTAACGAGTCCTTTCGAACCGCCGGGGCTTTCTGATTAGTCATGCATCGCTACAATCACTATCAGTGTCACGCATCACGCTTGCGCAAGCACCGTTAAATGTAACCCGTAAACAGAGCTGTCGCTTGCAGGGCGTTTGCCCTGCTGGACCTTGAATTCCAGGGCTGGGTTGCCCTTGAAACTGAAATTGATGGGTTGGAAATATTCTGGCCCTGATTCTTTACAGGGTTGATTTCGGGCTCAGGCTCGGTGTGTAGGGGGCAGATTTTAGGCGAGCCCTGGAACAAAATCTCTCGAGACCCCCCTTCCACCCCCCTCCCCCCCCCCCCCAACACTCCTCCCTCTCCTTCCCCTTCGTTTCTAACCTGATTGCATCCAACAAGGCAATTTCGAGTTGCTTGGTTGGGCCACAAATTCAACTCAGCCTAGAACTTGTGCTTAAACCAATCACAGCTCGCTCTCTGTGGAGTGGGTGACGGTTAAGGTTTGGTAGAAGTGCACAAGAACTACCCTGAAGGTTGGGTAGTAAAGATGTGCAGACGATCATCGGTTCTGCAAAGGCTAGGAAGCCTGCAAAGCGTGCGTAGTGATATGACGCTAACTATTTCTCTTCTTGTCGTGTTTGCTTGCTTGTCGTTGATCTCAAACGTAGTTGTGAGCTTGGTAGTTGAAATGAGGCTCCCGATTTTTTCGCGCCAACCCTGATTCAAGGGAGGAAAAATTTCTAGCCCTGAAGCCTGAAGGGCCGAGTTCGCCCCAGCCCTGCTAAATACAGGGTCATACATGCCGGGCCCCCTGATTTGTCCAGGGGGCCCAAAACGAAACAACAGGCCTGCCCGTAAATAAACTTCGTAGCCGCTCACTGGATCCCCCCTTTGCCCCCTCTAGTCCTGATCGCTGCGGGGCTATCAGCCCCTCTGCGCTCCGTATTAGCCAATGGTAGGGCTGAGCCTTTCGCGCTTCGATTTCACCAGCCATCAAACCGAGCCGCGCAAAGCTGACAGCCCCTCCCCAGAAGTTCCGAGTCGGAACAGCCCCTACCAAATTGGCCCTTCACTGGTTTGCCTCGCCCTGCCTTGCCGTTCTCTAGCAAAAATTCATTTAAATCTGCGTTCTTGAAAATTTAGCAGCTATCAGTTGTGCCTGCGATTCCCTCACCGTTCAATCACCTGAACTACAACCGTACTAACGGCCTCACCGACAAGAGATTTCCTACCTCTCCCTTCAATCCTGCGAGTACTAGTCCCTACTGTACTCTTATAAGCTTCTTCAGTTCCTGAAGATGGAGATTGCTTGGATGAAAAAGGCTGCGATATGGACATTCGCTGGACTGGGCCTCGCGCTGGCAGTCATCTCCTGCTGCGAGATGGCCAACAACTATTTCGTTCTTACCCACCCTGAAGCCTGCATCGCTTCTTCCAACGGAACCCACTGCGCGGCAGAATTTCGCGTGGCGCGGCGATCCCTAGGCGTCGTGCCGCAGACGCCGGAGCAAGTGACCTCAGCCATGATCGCAGCGGTGTGAGCGCAAGTGGCGGCGCTAATCGAGGCGGCCGACGAGACTAAGACAAACAACGTACGGGAAGACCATTTCACAAATGTCATGGCGAGGACTTGCGCGCGCCAAGCCACCATCGCGCTGCGCTACCTGGAGCAGGCGGGAGATGCGGTGGAGGCGGGCACGAATCAGCTCGACGTGCCGTACTGGCTGGCGGCCGCCGACACGCAGATCGACAACTGCGTCGACGGCTTCCAGACTTTCTCGCCCGCTGCGCAAGGCTTCCCCGCTTACGTACATCTCGAGGTTCGTTCACAAACCCTTCAATTAGAAGCATTCGTCTGCATTACTCGCATGTGCTGTTTTCCCCAACTAGGCTTTCGCTCAACTATGAATTCTTTAACCATGAAAAAATTCTCAATAGTAGCACTCGTTTATTTTCCTTTTTCTGAATCCCGTCCCCACTTCTCATCAGTATACGGCTAAGAAGGCGGGAAGCACGCTTGACGCCCTCTTATCCATCACCAACGCCGCCGCCAAAGCCGCTGCATCCGTCGCATCAACGGAGGAGGATGTGGCGCCCGTGCGTGGACGCCGCATGACCGTCCGATCCAGCAGCTCGGGGAGCGGCGCGATGGATTGGCTTGAGGCGGGCTTGTACGAGCAACTGCAGGAGCTCCAGACGAGGCTGAACGCCGAATTTGCCGCTGCCGGCGGGGAGGATTCGGAGAGCGGTTCTATCTCGAGGAGGCAGTTGCGGCGCCACCGCCACGACGACGACGACGATGATGATGACGACGAGGATAAGAAGGATAAGAGCAGTAGCAAGAGCAGCAAGAGTAGCAAGAAGAGCAGCAAGAAGAGCAGCAAGAGCAGCAAGAAGAAGGCATCACCGAACCAGGGTCCGATGGTCGTCAGCCCGTCACTTGCGGCCAGCGCGACCGTCGGATCCGGATACAAGTCGATTCAGGACGCAGTTGACGCCGATCCCGGCGGCACGCGCTTCGTGATTTACATTCCCGCGGGAACGTACAAGGAGCAGGTTGTCATCTCGACGACGGACATCGTTCTGATTGGTGCGGGCGCGGGTAAGACGATCATCACGGGCGACGCGAGCTACGGCAGCGGATCCGGGACGTTCGAGTCGGCTACGGTTGAGGTGGATAGCGACAGGTAATGCCGCCGCCCTTTCCCCGTTCTGTCCTTACCTCCCTTTTCTGCCCAATTCTCTCCCTCCCCCCCTTTATGTAATTTCGTTTCTTCTCTCACGCACAGCTTCCCTCTCTTCCCTCTCTGCCCTTGCCCCATAATGTACGCACCCACCTGGTAACCACATAACAGGTTCGTCGCCTTCGGGATCAAGTTCGTCAACACGGCAGGCCCCGAGAATCACCAAGCAGTTGCGATTCGCGCCACCGGCGACCAAACAGCTCTTTTCAACTGCGCGTTCGACGGATCGCAAGATACATTGTATGTGGACGCGGGCCGCCAATACTACAAAAACTGCTACATTGGCGGCTCGCAGGACTTCATTTTCGGCGACGCGGCCGTGGTTATCGATGCGCCCAAGATTCAGCTTCACCCAAGCCCCTCTTTCGGGACCCTAACTGCGTCGGGACGGGCCAAGGACACCCCGACGGGGATCGTGATTTGCGACGCTGTTGTCTCGGCGGATCGCGGCACGAAGAAGGTGTATCTGGGCCGTCCGTGGAAGAAATGCGCCTTCACGGTTTTCATCAACACCTTTCTCCCCGCGGTGATCGAGAGGGACGGGTGGCTGTCGTGGAACGAGGGCAGCTGCATGTTTCTGGCGGAGGCGGGCAGCAAGGGGCCGGGCGCCGCGGCTTCCCGCGCGTACTGGGTGGACCCTGGGATCATCACGAGCGTCAGCGGATACGACGCCAACACCTTCACGCAAGTCAACTCCTGGCTCCGCCTGTCGCGCTAGGGCTTTCTCTTAGCACACCTAAATGCCAGCGCCAGTAGGGTTAGAATTCACGAGCAGCAGGAGATTCTGTAGCAGTCATGGGCGCACCCCGTGTGCCATGGCTGCTGGAGCGCCAAACCCGCCTAGGAATTCTTAGTTTCTTTTTAGATGTAGTTGCTAGAAGGCGATAAATTTGTGCTGTTCTGTGGAAGGTTCTAAGCAGGAGTTGGTTCCTTCCTGTGCATCTGTAAATTTGATTTGTACCAATTTATGTGGACTATTAATATCGCTCCCACAATCACCGTTGCTCCCAAAGCCGCTTAGCAGTTCAACGTATCTTAGAAGTTCTGTAAGCTTCGGAAGGCTTTTAGAGTAGGCGACTGCTGTAGAAGTTCTTGCTTAATGCTCTGTTTTGATCTCATTGGTACCAACAAAGTGCTTACTGGCGTGCTTTCAGTGCAGTAATTTTCTGCCTCTGGAACTAATTATAATGGGGAACAACAAGCAAACAGATTTAAAGACTCTCAAGCATCAGCAGCATCAACAAGCTATAAAACCATTTGGCAGAAAACGAGCATAACAGCTGCATCCATCGTTTCACCCTTCTCTCCACCCACCCCTCTAGAAAGTGGCTTCTGCCTGTACTTTCCCCTTTTACTAATCCACCTATGCATCGTGTGCCCTTACCTCATCCCCCTGCGCTTCCTATGCTCCTCTTCCGGGAATCATCTTTGCCGGCCTTTCTTCATGGGTAACCTTGGAATCACCGCTGTCCTCCTCACCCTCGGAATCAGTATGCTCCTTTCTTCCCGAACCACCAGGAACCACCTTTGCTGGCCCTCCATGGGTGACACTTTATCACCTTCTCCTCATCACGCTCAGATTTACTCCCCTCTTCGAACACCATATCAGCTCCTTTCCTCTCTAGCACTGTACCCTTACCTTATCCGCTCTTTCTATGCTCCGCCGGTAACCGTCTTCGCCAGCCCTCCTCCATGGGTGACCTTGGGATCACCCTTTTCCTCATCGCCCTCGGATTCATTTCCCTCTGAGAACACCATACGGCCAGACGGAGTGAACTCGGCAACCTCCCTCCCAGAGGGTATACGCGTTATAGTACGATCCGTGAACGCGAATCCCAGCGCGGGGACCCAGCGGATCCGCACGTCGTCCCCGTCCCCCGCGTCCCCTTCACCTCCCTTCGGAGCAGCTGCATCTCCCCCTCCCCCTGCCGCGCCCGCTGCGCCCTTTCCCGTGGGCCTCCCCTTCCCTGTAGGGACCACTTTCCGCTTCGTCCGCAGCTGGCGCCACTTCAGAATCACAACGATCAGCAGCACCAGGAACAGAGCGGCCAGCGACCCCACCACTCCTGCGATCAGATAGCCGGAGATGGGAGGTTTCGGGGTCGGTTCAGGGTTAGTTTCAGGGGCGGGGATGGGTAAAGGAGCAGGAGGTGGGATCGGACCCGGAAGCGGAGGAGACTTGGGGCTCGGCGAAGGCGACTTGGGAGGGGGCGACTCGGGAGGGGGCGACTTGGGGGGAGGCGACTTGGGGGGAGGCGACTCGGGAGGAGGCGACTCGGGAGGGGGCGACTTGGGGGGAGGCGACTTGGGAGGAGGCGACTTGGGAGGGGGCGACTTGGGAGGAGGCGACTTGGGAGGAGGCGACTTGGGAGGAGGCGACTTGGGGGGAGGCGACTTGGGAGGAGGCGACTTGGGAGGAGGCGACTTGGGGGGAGGCGACTTGGAAGGAGGCGACTTGGGAGGAGGCGACTTGGGAGGAGGCGACTTGGGACCCGGCGGAGGCGAATCAGGCTTGGGACCCCCCGGAGGCGAAGGCGACTTGGGGCCCGAATCAGGCTCAAGCACAGCGGTGCCGCTATCTGCTGGCTTCTGGTGGTGCGTCCTCCCCGTGACCCTGCCTTGCGATTTCAAGACAGTGTCGTTTGCCATGATGTCGCTCGGCGCAATTCACGGGACGATATAGGAGCAGTTCAACCGAGGTTCGACTTAGTAGTTGTGAAAACGCGACTAGTGAGGGGGTGAGTTCCGCACTACGGATATTTCTCCGTACAGCGATATGATGTGGTAAGCTTTGAAAAATGATTGGATATAATGCCTTCGCCTGCTAACGCCTCCGGTGGCGCGACTCTCAATCCTACTCTTCACCGTCGGTCAGAATCGTGGTCTGTGCAGCCTGGAGATGCTTCCGTTCGCAGTACTGTACTTTTAAACCGGCAATGCGGCGAATGGAGTTGTCTGGACGGAACTACTGCGACAGGCGTTTTCAGAGACCTGAAGAAAAGTTTACGCAAGGAAAGGCACGGCGGTTGATGTGTTTACGACGAAGCTATTACGACAAGGCGATGCACGACGAGATTTCTGTTGCTAGTGGTTGTTCTGCGCTTCTTCCTTTATTCAGAATGCGATTAACGAGGGCCGAAACCACATCGATCACAACTTCAGCGTGCAAGCAAACACGGCCAGCTCAGACGTCCATCATCCTCCTAACATGACTGACCCAACCTCACGACCAGTAAGTTAAAGAAAACGGCCCGGTAGAAATTCGCGGTCATCCCAAGCGCCAAACTCAATCTCCGGGATTGCTAGTAAACGTAAGCTTCACGGGCAGGGCCTTGTGTGTCAGCTTTGAGGAGTCTTCGGTTGCACTTGTGTTCATCTAGGCTTTCTGCACCTTCTGGGCGGGGTTTCGAGCCTTCTGTGTGTCTCTGGGGAATTGGGAATTCCGGGAGTTGCATCGTTGGATTGGATTGAATGGCAGGGTAAGGCAACGGCGGGCAGGACGACGGGCGGAAACGGGATGCGGGAGTGGGCGCGCTGAATGTTGGCTATTGCTTCGCGGAAGGAGGAACGATGAACCGTGGTCCGCGTTCGGAAAATAGTCAATGAACGCGCGAGGATGACGCGGAGGGGACAGCAATTGTGGGGGGAGAGAGCCATGGAGGAGGCTGGGGGAGCCGCGGGGCGGAACTGGGGGGAAGGTGGAAATGGAAACGCGTTGAAGCAGACGAACCCCGATGAAGGTGAGGCCGTGAAGTGTGCGGCAATGTAATTATTGGTGGCTCAGCGCGGTCCGGTAGCTTGAGTGACGTAATGTTACGAGTGCAATTGAGTGAACGAACGAGAATTGCACTATCGAAGCAAGAATACAATGAGCTAGGGCATGAGCGAAGATTATATAGCGAAACTACAGTGGTAACGGTAATGGTCTGTGGTAGTCGCGCGACGAGCCTGGGACTGAGGTTGGGAAAGTGTCGAAGCGTAGGCCCGGAGCGCGGGTTACCAGCCGAGCCGTGAGGTCGGGATGCGATGTGCGAAAATGGCGGGATGATTGTCGATGCGATGATCGCGAGTGGTAACGGTGCTGACTGAGGTGTTACAGTGATGTACGCGTTGAGCAGGGATGCGAAGTAAGAAAAAGGGATTTTCCTTACACTACCCCCCCTCCTAAGGAGGTCCTCCTTACGAAAGCGTATGGACATCTTTGAAGTTTCGGCTGCGCAGATATTCGGTGAGGACAGGGTGGTTTTCAATTCTGTCCAGGGGAACCTACTTGTCCTCGGTAGGTGTACGGTCTTTCCAGCGGATCAGGAACTCGATCTTTCGGGCTCCTCGGGGGTCGCGAACTCTGTGACTCAGGATTTTGTCGGGGGTGATGATTGGTTCGGATGGTGGTCGTGCCATGCTGGATGGTCGATGTCGTGGGAGTTGGCCGGTGGATGGTACGTAAGGGCGAAGCAGGCTGACGTACCAGTCAGCAGGGAGGAGGAGGTGCGCGGTGACAGGTGTGATCATGTGGCTAATTCGAAATGGCCCACAGTATCGGGGGCTGAGTTTGGGAGTGATGGGCAGGCGAGGGTTTTGAGTGTCGAGTAAAACGAGGTCGTCGGGCTGATAAGTGACAGGTCTGCGGTGGCGGTCGGCGTTGCGTTTAGCGATGATGTTCGATTTTTTTATTGCTTCTGCTGCCCTGGTCCGTGCTGCTTGCAAAATCTCGGCGAATTGTTGTGCACGTGGAACGGGGTTGTCGGGATTTGGGGTCATGGGTACTGTGGGGTCTTGTCCGTAATTCAGGTAAAACGGTGACTGTTGGGTCGTGGCGGATGGCGCGTTGTTGTATGCGAATTCGATGAGTGGCAGCTGCTGCTCCCACGTGTTTGGGTCGTCGCACGTGGCCCTAATGAGCTGCTCCATGGTCTGGTTTGTCCGTTCTGTCTGTCCGTCGGTTTCGGGGTGATACGATGAACTGAATTGTAGTCGCGTGCCGAATTGCTGCCACATGTTCCGCCAGAAATTGCTGGTAAACTTCGTGTCTCTGTCGCTGATGATCGATGCTGGTATCCCGTGCAGTCGAACGACGGTGGTGATGAAGAGTCGGGCTGTTTCCTCGGCTGTGATTGTTTTCTTGCAGGCTGCGAAGTGTGCCATTTTCGTCAGTCGATCGACGACGACCAGGATCGCGTCATTCCCACTCGCCCCGGCAGGTAACTCCGTGACGAAGTCCATCGTCACTTGCTGCCAAGCACGCTCTGGAGGTGGGATTGGTTGTAATTGTCCCGCCGGCCGCTTCCTGGTTGACTTCATGAGCTGGCAAGTGGGACACGATGCCACGTGTCGTTGCACGTCGGTCAACATTTCAGGCCAATAATTGTACCGCTGCAGCTGCTGCCGTGTTTTCTCTACTCCGAAATGTCCCGAGGTAACTCCGTCGTGTGCCTTCTGTAACAGTAATTCCTGTAGTAGTGTGTACCCTGGTACCCAGATGCGGTCGGTTCCAGCTTTTACGTAATAGACTCCCTTGGCTGCTGCGAATTGCTGCGAGTTTCCTCCTGTGAAGAATGGGTCTGTTTGATATCCGTGGGTAAATAGTCCTGTCAGTAGCGGACTGGTCTGGGCGAGTAGTATCGCATGGATCTGGGCAGTGGGGCGGGTTAGTGCGTCGGCGATATTGGAGGCTCCTTTTTTATAGGTGACCGTATAATGGAAGTTCGACTCGAGGAAGTCGAGCCACCGAATCTGTCGTGGGTTGAGGTGGGGATGTGCACGGAGGTACTGTAGGGATCGATGGTCTGTCCGTACTGTCACGTCTGCGCCGGTCAAGTAGCAGCGCCACACTTTGAATGCATGCACGATCGCGAGCATTTCGCGGTCGTGTATCGGGTAATTTCGCTCAGGCGGATGCAGTTTGCGTGATTCGTAGGCGATGGGTTGGAGGCCGTTGCTGAAGTCCAGTAACAGTACGGCTCCGATGGCGATGTCGCTCGCGTCTGTAACAACCTCGAAGGGGCGATGTGGGTCAGCGATGCGTAGGACGGGTGGTGAACAGAGAACAGTTTTCAGGGCAGAGAAGGCAGCATGCTCTTTCTCCCCCCACGTAAAAACGACCCCCTTACGCAGTAAATCTGTGAGCGGGGCTATTAAGCGTGCCATGTCGGGGACGAACCGACGGACGTAATTAACGTGTCAGAACTTATAGCTTACTTGTTTCTGTAGGCTATAGTGGGGTATCCCATAGGGGGTACAACCCAATTAGGGTTTCCTATTTGTACTCACTTCGTTCATAGTCATTCCATCCTCGTTCTTTGTTTCCACATGGAATCAGAGCAGGTTCCCTCCTAGGGACTGCTTCTAGGGCCCACCGAACCGCGCCCCGAGGCGCGTTTTTTTTTTTAGCGACCCGTCGTGTCGCCCCTAGCGGACCGTTGCGCCGCCCTTCCCCTCGCGGCTCCGCCGCCCTTCCCTAGCGGCCCCGCCGCCCTTCGATCGCGGCCCCGCCGCCCTCTGCTACGCGGCCCCGCCGCCGCCCTTCGATCGCGGCCCCGCCGCCCTCGGCTACGCGGCCCCGCCGCCCTCTGCCTCGCGGCCCCGCCGCCCTCTGCTACGCGGCCCCGCCGCCCTCTGCTACGCGGCCCCGCCGCCCTCTGCTACGCGGCCCCGCCGCCCTTCGATCGCGGCCCCGCCGCCCTTTGCCACGCGGCCCCGCCGCCCTCTACTACGCGGCCCCGCCGCCCTCTGCTACGCGGCCCCGCCGCCCTTCGATCGCGGCCCCGCCGCCCTCTGCTACGCGGCCTCGCCGCCCTTTGCTACGCGGCCCCGCCGCCCCCTGCTACGCGGCCCCGCCGCTCTCTTCGGTCGCGGCCCCGCCGCCCTCTGCTACGCGGCCCCGCCGCCCTCTGCTACGCGGCCCCGCCGCTCTCTTCGGTCGCGGCCCCGCCGCCACTCTGCTACGCGGCCCCGCCGATCCGCCCAGCAGCAGCCGCCGCGCCTGAGCCGCCGCCGAGCCGCCGCCGAGCCGTCGCCGAGCCGCCGCCGAGCCGCCGCCGAGCCGCCGCCGAGCCGCCGCCCGAGCCGCCGCCGAGCCGCCAGAGCCGCCGCCGAGCCGCCCGTGACGCCCGAGCCGCCCGCGCCGCCCAGCAGCAGCCGAGCCGCCGCCGAGCCGCCGCCGCCTGAGCCGCCGCCGAGCCGCCGCCGAGCCGCCGCCGAACCGCCGCCGAGCCGCCGCCCGAGCCGCCGCCGAGCCGCCCGCGCCGCCCGAGCCGCCTGCGGAGCCGTGCTGCTGTTCCTCTGCTGCTGACCTACCCGCCTCTCCCAGCCCGGTGAGATTTTCAGCTGCTGTCATGGCCACCCCCAATGTTCTTACCTTTGACGCTGAGGGGAGGGCCATTGACTTTGCCGTCTGGATTGAAGACCTGCAGCTGTACTTACTGTGTGATGCGATAGATGAGGTCTCTCTCTTTGACTTTGTCTCTGGCGCTGTCCCTGCCCCACCTGCTGATGCTGACTCTGCCGTTCGCTCCAAGTGGGCGACCCGCGATGCTGCTGCACGTCTTGCTGTGCGTCGCCACCTCCCTTCCTCTGAGCGTGCCCACTTTAGTCAGTGCAAGACCGCTCAGGCCTTGTACGACGCTGTAGTTGCACGCTACTCCTCCCCT